TGGGAACACGATCTTGAAGAGGACGAGTACGAGGTGGAACGGATCGCTGACGTGCGTTCGAACAGGAAGCCGCGATACGGCCGTACACGACGCGAATACCTAGTCTTTTGGAAAGGCTACGCCGAGCCGTCCTGGGTAGATGATATCGATCTCAACTGTAGAGCGTTACTAAAGGACTTGACCGGGGACGGACAGATCGCAACCGGTCGAGGCGATGTAGTCGCATGAGGAGTAAGCGGTGGAACATCTGCGGTGGGTTGGCCACCGTGGAGAAGTGAGAGGAAGAAGGACCTGCAGGAAGGCCGCAGATTTCAAGGAGGAAGTGGTGCATATGGAGTACCGTGGGCCAGAATAGGCCGGAAAATCTAGGCAATACGCCTTTAAAAAAAATTCCGGAAGGATGGGAGAAGATACGCATGGATTAAGTCGGATTAGATCAGACGGAACCTTCTCGACGAGAGCTGAAACCTACAAGTTGCTAGCCAATACATAACGGCAGGGCGCGATCAGGAAGAGGAGGACAGGAACATGCCGGACAGACGAGCGATCCGAAGCGCCGAGTGATTTTCTGGCTCGTCGCGATAGGGGTTGCGCCAACGATCGGCCGCGTCCATACTGGTCAAGCCTCCAGTAGATCTGCAGGATCGGCTTCATCCTCGATTCCAGGATACCAAGCACCTGCTTCGCCAGGTCGAGGGAAATGCAGGAAGAAAGGATCTAGCAACAAGTCGAAGTCGCAGTAACCTCGGAGCAAGCCGATCAACACCTGTTGAAGGAACGACTTCCACCGGGCACCGGCTCTTGATCGACGCTGCTTGCGATCAAATTGGACGCATCGAAGTACCGACTGGTGCGCCGCTTGGCGATGCTCACCGGAAAGGCGTGAGTAGAGTCCCAATAAGCTCAAAGATGCTCATCCTCATAAGAAGCGTAGAGTCGCATCATGTGTCGAAACCAACCCCGACCTCTGAATGTGAGACGATCAATCTTGGCAGCAAGGATCTCCCACGGGGCAGACTCGATCAAGTCGCGTACGTTGCTTTCGTCTACCAGATCATCTCGCCATTCTCCAAGCGGAGGCACGGAGTCGCGGAGAGGGATTAGCCACTCCATCGGTTTGGCAAACTGATGAAACAGCAGATCCGCGTCCATCTCCACGATGCTTGTCTGACGAATATCCTGCGCAGACCAGGGGACGATATCATGACTGCGGAAGCTACGACGGTCACGATAACCGGGGATCCACTCCGATCGGGGAACCGTGGTAGGCGGTAGATCCGCCAGCTCAGC